CTTCGTTCATCTTTCATCTCATTTCGTGCTACGTCATTCCTTTGTGTCTGACGTAGCAAGGGGCCTAAACCTTACCCCTGACGGATCATTTCATCCTGTTTCCGTTTTTGTATGCCATTCCTTCGGTCTGGCATACTTGGCAACAAACCTTTCATTTCGTTTTCGTTATCATCACCATCATCAACTTCATCGTATTTCATCTCGCAATGTGCTTGTGTAAACGCTGCTAGAGTCCGCGAGTGCAGAAAACACTTTTCCAAGTGTGTGTGTGTGTATGTGTGTGTGTGTGGTGTGTGGTGTGTGTGTGTGTGTGTGGGGGGTGTGTGGGGTGTGTGGGGTGTGTGGGGTGTGTGGGGTGTGTGGGTGTGTGTGCGTGTGTGTGTGTGTGTGTGTTTGTGTTTGTGTTTGTTGTGTGTGTGTGTGTGTGGGAGCATAGCACTGTATTCCGAAGGAGAATTGTCTTGTGCATGGTTGGGCACGAATAAATGGAACCATATTAAGTCATGCATGTACGCTATGTATGTATAGGTCTGTACCTGTAAAATGTTAAAATGAAGAGAGGTATAGCTGTAAGACATGAACAGCCGGGATGGTCCCCTGAGAGACCATTGTGTCATGCATGCATTCACAGAAGCTGGTCTTCGCGGGTAATGGTGCAGCCGATGCCCTGTGGTTCGCACTAGTAGATGCATTGCATATTGGGCTCACGAGGTCAAGTGCAGTTTTTTCTCGAGATTGTGTTTTGATCAGCCGGAACGACAGAAATCATCAACAATCTTTCTCCCTGCATAAGGACATGCCCAGTCGAGTTGTAGTAGTTAGATCTTTTAGAGCGAAACGGGATGTGTGAAAGATGGATGTGTAACCGTGGAAAACTATCGAAGCTTCACTTGTCGGCGAGCTGCGGATGCTCTTGTCTTTTGATCCTGACCTTGGCACCCATGGCTGGTTCGATGATGACATTTGTGGCGTTACTGCTTCGTCATGAAATCTTCTTCGACATCGGCTCCCTAGGACGAACATTCCATGGCCTAAGTCGGGCAAGCCTGGCCATGAAGACATCACTCACGCCGTCCAGGGCGGAATAGTTTCAGCCGGCAAATCAGTTCCGCATGAACAAACCAGCTTTATCGGATCTGCCCAAAGTCGACAATGCAAAGACGCCAATGGTGCAGTACGTAGCCATTATGTACACCAAAAAAGGATTCTGTCGTAGATTCCGAAAAGGAGGTAATTTCCGACCCACAGCCCACTGCCATGAAGATCGAGAGCCGTCACCCTTTGCTGTCGAAGTTGGCGTCGTCGGTGTCGCCGTGCGTGGTGTCGACGTTGTTGGTGGTTGTGTTCGGGCTCCCTGCCGTGGCTGTGCCCATGCTCCGGCCCTTCCCCTCCTCCTCCTCATCCGTCTGTGACTGCTGCGGAATTTCAAGAACGTGAATATGGGCAGTTTGTGGAATTCTTCTGCGCTACAGGCCCAACTCACTTCAGACATTCGCGGTGTCATTACATCTGTAAGAACTAGATCCCTAGCTTCTTGCACTATTTCCGGAATCTGGCCTGACCTGTTTTAACATAGCCCAGGCCTTTCACCTCGCCGTTGGCTCGGGCGGCTCTCGCGGGCGTGGCTTTCGCAGTTGCCACACTGCCTTTCACCAACTTCCGCATGGCTGCCGGGCGCCTTGCGAGTGCGAAAGACAATGATATGCAAAATGGTGTAGGACATGACATTCTAGGTACAGTGCCAGCATCGTAGCTTTCTTTCTACGTCTTTTTGGGCTGGGGTGCAGTGCAAGGGCCGAGCCTGAGGTGGAAAACGCCATAAATAGCTATTGGGAGACACCATGTGGATGAAACATTTGGAGATATCTGCGAGCGAGATCCCGAAAGGCGACAAACAGTATGTAGTAGTAGCGGTTTTGGTTTCGAGCAATTTGTTCTCCTGACCAACATCGATACTCTCAGAAACAGCCTTTCCCGCATCTTTGGAGCCGGAGTGCTGAAGCAGGCCTCTCTAACATCCTCCTGCGCAGTCCTGTCCTTGTGTTCGGATTCTACATACGTGACCATACTCCTCGCCCGCACTGCATTAGGCCTCGAACCGATCGTACCGAAGCCGCGGTGGAACGCTGAGGGTCCGGCGACGGGAAGGGCTGGGTTCGGAGTTTCGGTTATTTCTTGCTGTTTTTGTATGAGTTTCTCGGTGGAGATTTGGATAGCTCGCGTCATAGGATGGGCATGCTGTAAGATTGCAAGACCAGCCAAGCACAAAGCAATTGCCAAACCCTGAAGTACTAATTTTCAGCCACGAACCACAACCGTTGAGCAGCCCATCTGAGCATCGAAACTTTAGGTCGGAAAGTCGGAGCTGGATTTTGCATTGGATTCTAGAGTTGATGGGATGATCTAAACCTCGACACCCGACCCACAAGCTCTCCGATCGATATCCGAGCTCAACTTCCTTCGGCTTCAACCTGTGCTCGCAACCGAACCCTCAAACCGCTGGCAAATTTGAGCAAAACGAGTTTCAACCACGGACCATGATAGTGGCGCCAAGCCAGTCCTTCGTGCCCACCGTCGCACGGGATACAGTCTACGCCGTGGCGCGGGTGGCGCTTCCAGCCTCACGCCTGTTAGTTTGAGGCCGAAGTAGGCGGAAACCATTGTGTAACTCATCAAGAGAGCCGTGTCTTGGGGACTTCGTTCTTGGCTTTGGCAGCGCTACAGGACAGGATTGGATTTTGCAAATGCTTGAGTTTGGAACTCAATTTTGAGATTTTGTGTATCCGGCCTTCCACTCCTTGCCCACAAAGGCCGTCATCGCGAGTAAGTGTGGCGCTGAGATGGCCCTGACCTTACCGGATCCGACACGTGCATCTGGAAACTCTGGGAATTGGCCGTCGCATCTCACCCAGCCCAGTTAACAACCCTAGACCCTTTATTTTAGCACTTTCGAGATCATCAATTCCGCTGTGAAGCTCAGTATCGGGTTGATCCGTGTCTTGCGAGGAGAATCTAACGTCCTCGAGCATCAGTGATGTTGACATTATCGAGCGTCATTTTCTCAAAACGTGGAAGCCCGACTCGCCTCCTTGACTGCTAGACTCTGTCCCTCGACCACTTGACTTCTTACCGTGATCTCTGATGCCTTGACCTGAGACCTTACCCGGACATTGCAAGTGCCAGGCGCTGTTCTGGACGGTTTTCACAGCTTGTCTTCTCGTAGCTTGGCGTTTACACTTATCGGTTGAAGCCATTAGGGTCAGCATGGAAACTGAGCTTTCGTGCTTCGTGGTTCGAAGGGGTCAGAGCTCCAGAGCTGCAGGCTAGAACCGTTACGTACCACCAGGCTAGCTTTCAGTTTACTGGTCTGAGGGTGGGTTTGGAGTTTGGGGTTTTGTGGGCTTGCAGGACATCGGCTTCACAGGACATCTAGCGACAGCCAATGTCGGTGGGGTGAACCAAAACAGATCTTCCGCACGGAGTGCCCGATGCTTCTCATGCAGCCTAGTGTTTGGAAGCCCAAACCCGAAACTATGCAGCTTTATGACGCAACTTCAACTGCCACAGGCTCAACCCCACGCTGCATCGGGTGAGCTGTGTAATTCGTTCGGAACCATATGTTGCACACCACCTGATTAGGGTCCCAGTCCAACAAGTGGCATTGTCGCGACCATCGCGTCGGCGCCGCAGCCGCCACCGCAGCACCACCACCACACCCACCACACCCACCAC